GCCCCTATCTCTCTCTCTCTTACGCACTCGTACAAACACACACACACACACACACACACACACACACTCATACACACGCACACTGGACTGTAAGCCTCATGAGGTCAATAATCCTGTTTCGTCAAAACTTTGTATCTCTCCTAGCACCTAGAAAATACTCCATACACAGTAGGAGCTTAATGGATGTTTGTTGAAACAATAGTGCTGAATGAATGACCAGGATCTTCCAGAAGAGGCCTCCATGTGCCCACTTAGACTCCCTATACAAGGGTCAAAGATTTGGGTTAAAATCCAAGGAGTAATAGAAAAGTTTACTTGCTTCTTATGAATGGTACCTCTTTTCCTCACCAATGGATTTTCTTCTGGTTTCATAAAAGAGAATCTAGAATATTATATATAAAAAAAGAAAGAAACCACATGTTCAGTAAGTGGTAAGCCACAGAGACCTTCTGAATAAAACAGCTAGAATTAAACATCAGAGAGAAAGAGACAGACAGAGAATCTAGACAGAGTCCTTCAGAAATTCTTCCTGTCTAGGGATCTCTTCCCCTACAACCTTTACTCTCACCCTTGCCAACCTCAGTTAGATGGTTGCAGACTTGCTGACCAAGGGGAGAATTCCTCAATCCCCTTTCTAGAGGAAACCAGCCCAAAATATCACGAACTGTGGCATACTGCAGCCCAGGTAAGCTGTAGAGGCCAACAAGGCCTAGTAGCTGTCAGTCATGTCTATACCAGGGTTATCAGGTGTGGGAGGTCAGCCAGTGCCTGGACCTTGCTCTGTATGGGTTTCCCCCCCACGGCCTCTCAGCAGGCTCCCAGGACACAGCTTTGGCTCCAAGCTTGGCCCACTCCATAGGTTTTGTTTTAGCTCACCTATGTCTTGGTCTCAGTGGTAGAGTTTAATTTCTCAAATGAGCCTAAAGATGGCTATTGCATCTCTTTCTCTTTTATTCTCACTGTACTAGCCTCTGGAGGGAAAATGGTGGGTCTGGAACTTCCTACATCACAAAAAGTATTGAGAAACAGTCTGCTGTAGTAGAAAGAGCATGAGACCTGGATTCCTGTCTAGCTCTGCCACTAATTAATTTCAGGCTATTCGTTTGACTGTTTAGCTTCAGTCTCATCTATAAAACAGGGATAATAATATTTGTATTACCTACCTCGGGAGGGTGTTGTGAAAATTAAGTGTATGTGGAGTATTGTAAGCTAGTTAGCATTCATAACTACTGGGTCTGGTTGCTGTCCAGCTCTCTTTGGCCTGTAAGCCTCAAGGCAGCTTGGGACTGCCCAGGAATCATCCAGTTGGGGAGCCCAAACACATAAGCAGATGACTAACAGTACAAAGTAGCACCAGCGAGCGCTTGTAAGTGCTGTACGAGTTCAGACAATACCAGAATTTAACTTTTTAAAACACATTTAGATAGAACACGGATTTTTAAATAAAAAGAAGATAGGTTCTTCACAGCATGATGAGAATGCAGAGCCAGAACTATGGAGGGATAACCAGGGCTTTGTTTAATGAAATTAGAATTATGAAATTAGAAGGCAATGATGACACTTGCAGTCCTTTAGCAGATAGAAGCAAGTGAGTTTTCTTTTTAGCAAGAATTTCTTAGATCTGCAATTTTATTGAGTTAGGAACTCCTATTGAAGATGTTCCTTCTACCTAGAGGCAGCTAGGTAGTTCAGTGGATAGATTGTAGAGTCACGAAAATCTGAGTTCAAATCTGGCCTCAAATACTTGCGAGCTATATGACCTTGGGCAAGTCACTTAACTTTTGTCTGCCTCAGTTTCCTCAATTATAAAAAGGGAGTGATAATAATAGCACCTACCTCCCAGAGATATTGTTCTCTGTTTTTGCATCCTTGAGTGTTATCCTGGGGTCTTTCCCCCAGTAGGGCCTTGTGTCTTGAGGTCTGGGGTCTTCTTTCTTCCTCCAGTTGAATTCTCCTCAGACACCAGAATTGCTAGCTGTCAGCTCTAGGAACATGCGTAACCCTCCCAGTGCTGGTGCCCAGAACAAAGGAGAAGGCCAGGGCCAAGGGCAGGAACAAGCCATTTAGTTTCTGTCTTGTTCAGCCCAGCTGTCAAGGTGAACTGTAATTTGGCTGAAAGGGCACAGAGCTGGTAGGCACAACATGTTCTCACACTCCCCTGCTGTAGGTGAGACAGACAAGGAGAGCTGAGACACTGAACTTTTCCTGGATTTGACTAGACCTAGGGAACAGAGGCTACAGCAGCCGCCTGTTTCACTAACTGTCCAGGATGGTTGAAATAGGCTTTTCACAACTGCCTTGGGCCTCCAACACCCAGGTGTGACCACTCTCCGGCTCCCTGTGGTATTTAAGATTCAAGAGGATGCCAGATTCAGAGAAGCCAGGCTGGCCCCAAGTCAAGAGGCTGTCACAGTTAGGGGCCTCACTTTAGGGAGGCCAGAGATCCATGGGAGTGTGTTCGAATGAGGACTGTGAAAGAGTTAAGAGGGCTAGAGATCATGCCTGATGAGGGTCTGTGGATGGTTAGCCATGAGAACAGAAGGTTCTGGCAGTGTGGTACACTGATGGAAAAGAACACTGAATTTGGGGTCAGGGAAAGCAGATTCAAATCCTTCCTCTTTCACTTTCCAACCTGTGTGACCTTGGTCAAAACACCAGCACTCTCTGTGCCTCAGTTTCTTCATCTACAAAATGAGGGGGTAGGCTTAGATGGCCTCTAAGGTGCCAGTTCTAAATCTGTGATCTCTGGCACGTGCTCTTTCATTTAGGGTTAGCTGAATAGCTGCCTTCAAGGCTTTCATGTGGAACCAGACAGACACTTTGGCTTAGTGCCAGAAGGCTGAACTAGAAACAATGAATAGATCTTCCGAGAGGTGAATTTTAGGCCCGTATAAAGGGTGGGGAGGGGGAAGCCCCTTCCTGGAACAAGACTATCTGAAAGTGAAATGGATAGCCTCAGGATCCCTTTCCAGCTCGGAGATTAGGGACCTAGCAGTATCATGCATTTATTCAGAAGGTAGAAGCCCCTCGAGGGCAGGGCATGTTTCACCTTTGCCTTTTGTATACTAGCACTCAGTAAGCATTTGATAAATGTTTGTTGATTGACTGATTGAAATACTTATTAAGTACCTACTACGTGTAAGGCTTTGTGGTCAGCACTAGGGAAAATGTTAACTGTGATTCGGATGCCTTTGGGGGAAGGCCAGTGGAGAAGGACTACACCTCGTTCTCTCCGCACAATTTGCCGATTGGACAAGGCCCATCAGCTATCTGTGCTAGGAAGAGATGAGAGGGTGAGGAGAGAATCATGCTGATCTCCTGGAGCTCAAGTTCTAGCAGGGTAGATAAGTATAATAGTAGCAGCAGCAGCAGCAGCAGCAGCAGTAGTAATGAACATTTAAACAGGGTGTTCCAAAAGTCTTGAAACACTCTGGATAGGCCTTTAAAATTTGTAAAACACTTTACATGTTATCTCATTTGAGCCTCACAACTCTGAGAGATAGGTGCTATGATTATCCCTATTTTACATATGAGGAAACTGAGTTTGAGAGGGTTTAAGTGACCTGGCCAGGGTCGAACTACTAATAAATGTCTGGAGCAGGATTTGAACTCCTGACTCTAGTTTCTGTGCTCTAGTCACTATGTCAGCTAGCTGCAGAGTATAATAGAAAGCAGGGTAGAATAGGAGGGGTCTCAGCAATGTGCAAGGAGACCCTTCAATTCAGCTGATCAGAGAAGGCTTCTTTGATGTGGTGATATTTTTAGCATTTTAATTTCTTCTTATTGAGGCTTAAAACACCAAAGATCAGGCTTAAAAAACAGCATGAAATCAAGGAAGGCTTGGGAAGAAGTAGCCTGGAAGAGAGACCCAAACTTCCCGTGAGTCAGGCAGAATTTTTTTTCTTTTTTGGGGGGGGCAATTGGGGTTAAGTGACTTGCCCAGGGTCACATAGCTAATAAGTGTCAAGTGTTTGGTCTGAGGCCGGATTTGAACTCAGGTCCTCCTGACTTCAGGACCAGTGTTCTATCCACTGCACCACCTAGCTGCCCCCAGAATTCTTGATTAATACTATTGGTGATTGGCTGTCCTCCCAGCTACGGTTGTCCAAGCCAATCCTCCTGAGGTGTCTGCCTTTAATGCTAGGGATGGAGGGGGAGCCAGTTGCTTCCTACAGAACCTAGAATATCTTGTGAGAGTCTGGGATCCTGCCCCAGGACTAAAGTCTATGGTCACCTCCCATCTGGGAACAGAAGCTGGAACCAGGCTCCCAAAGTAGGAGGAAGAGGCTATTAATGGGGGAAGAGGCGGGGAGAGAATTCCCTAGACTATAGGAAGACAGTTCCAGCAGCACGAATCTCCTCTCCCCATTTCTCAGAAAATCTGAGGTCCCTTTCCAACCTCACTGAACCTTTTCCTGAGGTATCGTTTGTTAAATTTTTTTAGGGACTCGCCAAATGGACCTTCCTTCTAAGTGTTAGAAAGATGAGTGGTAAGCAGACAGAGTAAGTGATTTGAGGCAGAGGAACTGAGCTCAAATCTTGACTCTGATACTATGTGACCTGGGGAGGGTCATTTCCTCTCTCTAGAGCCTCAGTTTCCTCATCGGTAGAATGAAGTAGTTGAATTAAATGTCCTCAAATGTCCCTTCCAGCTCCAAATCTATTACCCTATGAATCTCCCTGGCAGCATCCTCACCTATAAAATGAGGGAGTTGGATTAAGTAGCCTCTGAAGTCCCTTTTAGATTGAAGATCCTAGTAAGGAAAATCCTTCAGGAGCTTCTCCATGCCTCAGTTTCCCTCTTTTTATTTCAATAGACCACAACCACAAAATGCACTAGATAGAATAAAACTGTCCCCTCCCTCTCTCTGTTCCTTTCATCCGTCCACAAGCCATTTCCCTCCCCTGTGCAGGTGGGGAGCAGGCAGCTCAAGGTGGGCAAAGTGGAGGACTCGAGGGAGACAGGAAGGAACCACAGTCTGTCCTTTCTTTTCTTATAGGCTATGGTCACGCAGCCCCCAGCACAGATGGTGGGAAGGTGTTCTGTATGTTCTACGCCCTGCTGGGCATCCCCCTCACGCTGGTTATGTTCCAGAGCCTGGGTGAACGCATCAACACCTTCGTGAAGTATTTGCTGCATAGGGCCAAGAAGGGGCTGGGGATGCGGCGGTCGGACGTCTCCATGGCCAACATGGTCATCATTGGCTTTTTCTCCTGCATCAGCACCCTATGTATCGGAGCAGCCGCCTTCTCCTACTATGAGCACTGGACTTTCTTCCAGGCGTATTATTACTGCTTCATCACCCTGACCACCATTGGTTTTGGGGACTATGTGGCCCTGCAGAAGGACCAGGCTCTGCAGACTCAGCCCCAGTACGTAGCCTTCAGTTTCGTGTACATCCTCACGGGGCTGACAGTCATTGGCGCCTTCCTCAACCTCGTGGTCCTACGCTTCATGACGATGAATGCGGAAGATGAGAAGCGGGACGCCGAGCACCGGGCCCTACTGACCCGCAACGGGCAGGCAGGAGGCAGCATCCACACCACAGACACTGCGTCCTCCACCATCGCGGGGAGCGGAGGCTTCCGCAATGTCTATGCTGAGGTGCTTCATTTCCAGTCCATGTGCTCCTGCCTGTGGTACAAGAGTCGGGAGAAGCTACAATATTCCATCCCCATGATCATCCCCCGGGACCTGTCCACTTCTGACACCTGTGTGGAGCAGAGCCAGTCATCCCCCGGGGGTGGCCGCTATGTCGACACTCCTTCTCACCGTTGCCTCTGCACGGCCCAGCGTTCGGCCATCAGTTCCGTCTCCACTGGTCTGCACAGCCTGTCCACATTCCGTGGCCTCATGAAACGCCGCAGCTCAGTGTGACTGGGGGCTGGTTGTGGGTCAGGCTAAGGAGCCAACCCACTCACACAAGCCTTGAAAGGGGGGAGGGAGGGTAAGGGAGCAGTAGGAAAAGATAGACCCACAAAGGTTTGCTTCAAATCATCCATTAAAGAAATAAGCTCCATGTCTCAATGTGGGCAGAAAGGCCATAGGATTTATGTACCCAGTCTGGGTGGATCGGCAGGCATTGGCCTAGAGGTTTGCTCACCCACCATTGGTCAGTGTCGGAGTAGGGGGAATCTAGGCTTGTCCTAAGACCTCCGACTGTGCCTGCCCCACCAGCCTGCCCAGGGCCTAGGGCCTATGCCTAGGGGCTTCTTGCATCCGAGACCTTTCTATACTCTCTCCATGCTCTGAAAAATTCCAAGAAATGTGAAACTTGGTGGGGGATGGGAACCAGAAGGGGTCCAAAGAGGAAACCTCTGATAGCCTTGGAAATTTGAGGAGCTGGGGGCCTGGCCCTTGAGGCTCAGCTGTTCTCAGAGGCCCATCCACCCACCCCTCTCTCACTACCACCCCCTTGGAATGGGACTTCTCTGTGTTAAGTGTTTGTTTGCATCTCTATTTATACCTCTCAGCATTAATGTCCTACAGTTGTCCTATCTGTGAAGTCCTTCCTTCCCTCCTGTTCTGGGGCCAGTGACTTTTTGCTGCACCCCCCAGACTCCCCAGTTTGCCCAGCTCCCCTGTCACCTCTCTCCTGCTCTGAGTTACACCTCACAATCTCCCCACCCCAGGCCTTGCTTCATATTGTTTTTGCATGGCTTTGCAAAGAAGGAACGTACAGCAGAGAGGAGGCAGAAAAGAGAGTGATCGAAGGGAATGTCTTCCAGTGCTTATGTCTGAGACCCAAGCTGGGGTTTTTGAGTGAAAAACTCAGTCCCATTTCTCATAGTGGAATGGGTTAGTGTGTTTCCTTGGAGGTGGGAATGGGTAGTGATCCCCATTTCAATACCTTCTCAAAACCCATACATTGCCTGTCCCTTGCTGACTCAGCCAACCATTTCTCCTAAATCTCTTTGCTCACTCTCCTACATATACCTCCTATATCCCCATGTCACCAATTTTGGAGCAAAACCCCAAAGAGGTGATTCAGTTTTGGGGCCCTGGGACCTGACCACTGCTAACCTTCGAAGAGCAGGCAGCTACTGGACACAGTACTTCCCCAGGTCGTAGCACCTCTGTAGGCACGGGACTCTTGGGACATCCACATCTGAAGCTGATTGTGGATGGGGGAGCCCTCAGTGAGGTGACCTTAGTGTCTTCCAACTATTCTTGAGGCAGCATGGCTGAAAGATCTCCAAATCTGCGATCAAGGAAACAGGGGAAAGGGGAGAGCAGAGAAGAACAGAAAAATGAGAGTGGAGTCCACCTTGGCCCTCTTTCCTGGGACTGAGTCCTTTATCCTTTCCTGGCTACTTCCCACTGCAATTCCTCATCTAATCAACGTAGCCGAGAAGGCTGTGGCAGCTTCTGAGCAGGGACGTGGGACCAAGTCAGGAGATTTCTTGATTCTGGGAATCAGAGATCTAGGACCACAGGAAAGATAGCAGTGGACCTGAAAAGGAGACAGATTCATCAATCAGTTGACGTAGCCTTTGGCAGGCAAAGTTTGGCTCTGCCTTTGCCTAGGTGGACACATCTGCTCCCTTAGGTACAGAATAGATGCCCGTCTGTCCAGTGACAGGGGAGGAAAAACTGTTCAAGCTCAAAACAGAGAGAAGAGCTGCCAAACAGGGAGGGGGTGCACACCTCCCCAGCATGGCTGGCCTCCCTGCTGCCTCCAGATACTGCAGGCTTTTTCCGACGTAGTCATCCCAATCAGTACCTTACCTTAGAATAGAACAAATCTCAGTGAATGACAGCAGAGCTATGTGGTGACTCAGGGCACCAGCAGGTAGGAGGAGACAGAGATGGAGCAGTCTGCTGGTGCCAGCAATGACCCAAGGCACTCAGATCCAAGCGGTACGTAACCACATGCCTGCTGCTGACCCTCCCCCCTCCCCCCTCCCCCCTCCCCAGGGCAGTTGGGATAAATCTGGCTGCCTGCCTGGCAGTGAGGCTTTGTTCTTCCCTTTCTTCTGCAGACACCCTCAGGCTGCGTGCTTCCCTTCTGCATCTTTTTCTCCCTTTTGGTTGTATGATAGCCTCTCTCTCCACCACTACTCCTGATGTTGCAGCTCTTGGCTCCAATGATCAAGGCCTCCGGCCTGGGTATGCACTGTCACCAGCATTCACCTCTAGGGAAATGTTGGGTGGGATTTGGCCCAGGCTGCACATACGGTAGGGATGGCCGTGGTCAGAGACTGAGGATTTGTTTTTTTCAAGTTTTTGACTATATGTGTTGGAAGAGGCTACTGCTCTGCTTACTACCGTAGCCTGCACCAGAGCCCCAGGGAAAGGAAAAGAGGCAAACGTGAGACCACAATCCTCAACCCAATCTAGTACCGACAGTTGCCTCCAGGTGTGGAGGGAGGCAGGAAGAAAGCATTAGGAAGTTGAAGGTGGTCCACATGAGCCCCTCTGGTCCTTGCTTAGGAGAAAGATAAAGCTTTTGTCCCGTTCCACAGCACAGAGGGTCAGTGTCTCTGTGCACAGTGACTGTTACCAGGCTGGCTATCCACATGCCTGTAGAAGAAGCAATAATAAATGGTGAGGAAAGGATTGGGTGTCTGAGAGCTATACAGGGAGATGCCCTTCCCTCCCGAGTACTCCTGCCTCTCCCTTTGTCTCATTTATAAGTCTGTAGGACTGGCTGTGTCCATCCTGGGCATAATACATCCTGTGAGATGCCCTGTCCCACAGGTCCTTGAAAGCTGCCACTACTCCCCAGCAGCACAGCAGATGTGTGGAGCATCCTGCTTTTCCACCAGGCAGGACCAGATACATAGGACTGGCAAATTCAGGGAAATGATGGGGATGAGAAAAAAAAGATGGGAAGGGGAGCAACTGCAGAATGCCAAGGGTCCTCAACCAGGAATGAAAGAGACATGGATAAGTGATAGTGCCTCTCTCCTATCCCCCTGCCCCCTGTACCTCCCCCTCCTCAAACTCCTCTCTTTTTGCAGGTAGCCTCTCTGCTTCCCTGATGCCTTATCCCTAGGCACACTGCCAATTAAATATGCAATACATGTGGGAAAATCCCCCTATCCTCACCTCTAGTCCCCTCCCCAGCCTTTGAAACCACTGACCTCCAGAAGGCTGGAGACTCACAGAGGCATCCCTTCAACTCTCCCTACCTATCTGTCGTCACACTAAGAATGGCAACTAATAAATTCTGTACATTCAGACCAGGGACAGCCTCCGGCTACTTGTATCACCTTTATCCTGGAGGCTAGACCTCCAGTCAGGTATGGCAGAGGTAATGGGATGACTCCACACTCATCCCATGGCCCAGTGCTCTCTTGCTGGCTAGCTTGGACCCACTGACAAAAGCAATGGATGGGACCAGGGAGGGCAAATCTAATCCAACACAAGAAGACAACATGTTTGTTTTGAGGACTCAGGATCCCCAGGTTTTCTCATGGTTTGTTTTGTCCATTGGCATGCTCCTGACTGAGCATCCTTCCCTGCATGGTGAACAGGGGGGCTTACCTGACAAGGTCCCTGCCATCTGGAATCTTCCCCTTTTCTTACTTGTCTGGACTCCTAAGGCAGAGGTGAGCTCCTGACAACCAATCTCATTTAAAAAAAATCATAGCAGGGCGACCAAGGAAACAAGGAAGATCCTCTATAGAGGAGAGAGAGTGGGAACATGGCATGTTTCCTCAGCTGTCCCTATTTGCTCTAGTGCCAAGATGAGGCACCCTTGATCAAGCTGCTGGGTTGTCTCACTGGCAACTCCTAAACCCCAGGGTTATTCCTAACTTTTTTTAAAATTTAATTTAATTTTCAGTTGATAAGCATTTATTTTCTCTCTCTACCTCCAAAGGCGGGGAGGGGAGGAGAGCCCTTGTCACAAATGTGCATAATCAAACAGAATATATTACTGCATTGGCCATGTCCAAAAATGCATATCTCATTCTGCATCATGTATCTCTGTCAGGAGGTGGATAGCCTGTTTCATCATTAGTCATGGAATCATGGATGGTGATGACATTGATCAAAGTTCTCAAGTCTTCCAAAGTTGTTAGGCAGTTCTTATATTCTTCAACCTGCTCCTCCATTCACACCCAGCTGGGAAACTACTTCAAATGTAAGACTACAGTGACTTCCAGGTGTCCGCTCAAAGTGGTCTTTCTACTTCCAGGTAGGCTGTGAAGAAAGGCTAGACAGGCCTCATGATGCCTCCTGAAGCAGCTTCACTCTCAGAAGAAGCTCTCAGATGTCAGTACCTTTCAGATCTAGAGCACTTTTAGTTCACAAATACTTTCTCCGAAACAAATCAAGATCCCCACTAAGCTTAGAGAGGTTAATTAACGTGCCTAAAGTCATACAGGTCATAAAGGATACTGCACAGACTCAGGTCTTCTGACTGCAAGGACTGCTGACTCTTTCCACCATATATCCCTTAGAAGGATGTCTGGAGTGACTACCATCCAATCTGTCTCTCCACTAATAGACAGGGAGACAGGCACAGAAGACAGTAACCAGAGCCGGTGAATTAGGATCATAGACTCAGAAATGAAAGGGATCTTAGAGGTCATCTAGAACAAGCCCCCCCATCTTAACAGATGAGGAAACCAAGACTTATGTGACTTACCTAAGGTTTACAAGTAGTGAGCATCAGAGGTGAGATTTGAACCCAAGTCCTCTGCCTTGAGGGTGAGTGATCTTTCCCCCATATCATACTGCCTCCCAATATAATCATTGAATTTCCAAGTTAGAAAGGCCCTCAGGGGGCAGCTAGGTGGTGCGGTGGACAGAGCATCTACCCCAGAGTCAGGAGGACTTGAGTTCAAATGTGGTCTCAGACCAGACACTTGACATTTACTGACCCTGGGCAAATCACTTAGCCCCATTGCCCAGCCAAAAAAAAGGGGGGGGGGAGCCTCAGTGGCCACCTGACCTTATTAGATAGAGAAATCCTTTCTACATCCTGGTAGGTGGTCAGCTGGCCTCAGCCTGAATACTTTCAACAATGAGTAACTCACTACTTCATAAAGTGGCCCATTCCATATTTTGACAGATCTCACTACTTAGACATTTCCTAATTACACTGAGCTGGTCTGCCTCCATGTAACTTCCACCCCCATCATCCTGGTTCTGCCTTCTGGAGTCAATCAATCAACAAAAAAAATTATTAAGTGCCCCCTGTGAGATGCAAATAAAAAGAAAAGAAATACCCATACTCTCAAGAAATTGACATTCTATCGGGGGAGACAATGTGTATATAAAGAATAAACATAAAGAAAACAAGTAGAGTTAAGTCTAAATATTCTTCCAGATGACCACTTTTCAAGTTCAAACCAGGTCAGATCTTCTGGCAATGTTCCCCAGACTCTTACAACCCATGATATTATGACCGCAGTCCATCTCCCTATCCCCTACCCCCAAATATAAACACACACATCTGAATGCCAGCCATCCTCTCCACACTGAGGTCATTAAGTACCTCCACACTCCACGTCACAAATTGGTCACAAACTGGCAAGGGGGGTGGTGTAGAATGTGAGGACACCATGACCCACCAAAGACTTCTTCTTGCACTGAAGTGCTCTGATGCCCTGCTTTAAGGGAAGTGACTAAGGGACTCAATGGGAAAGTTAGTGCTAATATTCTGCTAATCAATCCCTTAATGCCCTACCAAAGCCCAAAGCTGAGTTACTCCATCCTTATGCCCTTCTTTTCTCTCCAGTAGCTTTTTTCCTTATAAGATAACAATAACAATAACTAGCACTTACATAGGGCTTTAGAGTTTGCAAAGCACTTTACAAATACTATCTCATCTTATCCTCACAACAACTCTAGGAGGTAGGCATTATTATTATCCTTATTTTATAGAGGAGGAAAATGAGACAGGTAGAGGTTAAGTGACTTGCCCAGGGTCTCACATCTAGTAAGTATCTGAGTCAGGATTAGGACCCATATCTTCCTGACTCCCAATTCCTCCCTGGTCCTAATTCACCGCAGCACACTGACTCTACATCAAAGTAATGTGGTCTGGCGCCCTTGCTGCTGAAGAAGACTCCATGGTACAATCATGATCAGAAGAATAATGACTCAGGGGGGCAGCTAGGTGGTGCAGTGGATAGAGCTCAGGCCTTGGAATCAGGAGGACTTAAATTCAAATCCGACATCAGACATCTAACACTTACTAGCTGTGCGATCCTGGGCAAGTCACTTAATCCCGATCGCCTCACCAAAAAAAAAAAAAAAAAGCCCCCCCCCAAAAGAATAATGACTCATATTTGTGTAGCCTTGCTAACAGTAATTTAAAGCAACATCTCAATGCTCTAGGCAACTCCTAAGACTCTAAATTGAAGAGATGATGCACTGTATCCATAGAAGGAACTTCCTGCCCTGGGAGTTCCCTCTACCATTCAAATCACAGCTCCAATTCCGATCCATATCCCTATTTCTTTGTCATGGTAAACCCTTTTACATATACTATTATACAGATTGAAGGGACAGTGTGGGATAAAGGCTAGAGTGCCAGTTTTGGAACCAAGAAGACCTTGGTTGAGTCCCATGTCTGACATACAATAGCTATGTTGTGACTCTCAGAAAGTCACTTAACCTCTTAGTATCCTATGCAAGTTACAGAGGCACTGATTGGTCCTGCTAGAGGGAGTTACAGCAGCGCTGATTGGCCCTGGTGGAAGGAGTATCTTATGCAAGTTACAGAAGCGCTGATTGGCCCTGGTAGAGGGAGTTTCCTCATTGGTCGTTCCCTGAACCAATGAAATCACAGGCCCAGTCCCATCTCTTTACAGAGATTGTGTAAGAATTATTTTCCCCACTTTACAGATGATGAAATTAAGTCCCACAGAGAGAAAATGATTTATCCACTGTGGCCAAATTATTCAATGGCAGAGACATGAACACATGACCCGAACTTGGTTTTTCT